GCTTGGGCTTCTGAGGACAATAGCTGATTTTATAAGCTTGACATTGTTCCAGAAGGGATTAGTTGCTGTGTAGTTGTTGTTACAATCGTTATTCTGAAAGCACTTATGAATGATTGTCTCTCTTGCTTAGAAACTACTTATCTCGTAGTTGTCTTTTTTGATATATTTTGTTCCATTCAGGCCTTGGGGGGGGGGGGGGGGGTGTGGGACATGTGAGGGGGGAGAAGCTGCTTTGATAGGGAAATCAGTTGAATTAGCTTCTTGATCTTATGACCTATTTAAGGTAATATTTAATGCATACTAAGAATAAAACCATATATCATAATATTTAAGATGCCACTGGTTTTGTTCATAAAGACAAAACAGTTGACTTTAAAATTCGCTCTCCAGGTTCTGTGATTTTATTTAAAATAAAAATCACTGGAGGTTTTTTATTTCATTACATTTAGTATCAGATTTTGGATTTTATTTCCTCTGAATTTTGTCAGCTTAAAAAAAGCTCAGTTTGGACCTGCAAAACACCTGAAGGCAGGAGTGATTCACCAGCAGTGTTTCGTTATTCTGCCATGCAATTAGTGCCCGTCTGTCTCTCACAGGATAGTTGCTGTTTGACTGTTCTATCAAGTCTTGCTTTTGCTTGATACCAGCCCATGTTTTTAGTTTAGTTTGTGTTTCAAGTAGCGTGAAATAGTTGGGACACGAAGTTGCTTTGAGGTCTCTTTCATTTTATTGTTTCTGTAAATCTTTTGCTTTTTTCCTAGATACAACGTTTTCAAAATAAATGTTTCAGAGTAGTTTTTATGCAGTTTCTTTAGTTTTAAAAATCAGTTTATGAATAGTGGGAGATATATATTTTCTTTCCTTTTTTATTGTCAGACTAGCTCTATAATAATATCTACATATTCTTCATAGTTTCAGCATTGGCAAAGTTTCCAGTTAGATCACCAAATAGGTTTTAGATATGTTTTATTAACTGCCCTGGCTGTGGGGAATGAACATTAAAATCATGTTTCATTTCTGTTTTACAGTGTTGTATTCCTGTCATAGTAAAACATGAGCTTTGAAAGGCACAGCAGTGTAAACCTCCTGTTAAAAAACTCCCTTAATCAAAGATTTAAGTATGACTATATACACATTGGCAGACTTCTGTTTTGGGCAAGTGCTTGTTACTGCGAACTAATAGAGCAAGTCATAAAACAGTGCTAAGCTATAAAAAGTTGTGTGAAGCCTAGATAACAGAATTCTGATCTTATGATTTACAGCTGAAAGAGCACAACAGAGTGTGGGAAAAAGAGTAATTCCAGCTCCACAGGAAAGACCTTTTTGGGCTCTTTCCCCCCACTCTGAGCTGTGGCAGGCCAATACTGTTGTAGGTTGGCTAGTTACATATGGACCAGAAAACCCACTTGGGAAACAGAGGTGGGATTGACACTGCAGAGGAGGACTTTCAGTAATTAAATACTTGGATACAGAGAGACAGTTGGCTCTCCAAAGAACTTTAAATAGCTGCACTATGCAGTGAAGTGGGTACCAAAATGGAGGAACTAATGAAGCCGCCTGTGCAGTAGAGAGCTGGAGAGGATGAGGTGTGCAAAGAAGGACTCAACAGCTAGGAGGCGGGATAAATCAAGGCAGCAAGGGAACATGAAGCCCAGGCAGTTCAAATGAAAAGGGAGGGGAAAAGGAGGAAACATCATAAATACACAAGGCACTAGCTATGTCCGGGGAATTACAGAAGCTGAGAAAACAATTGAAAGACCACTGAGATTTTAGTTGTTGGTATATATCCTCGGTTCAGTATGGAAAAATGTGTCGTCGTTTGGACCAGCAGAAGTCTTGAGTCCTGATCCGAAGTATTGAAACTGCAGAATTGTTACAGCTTGTGAGGAGCTTTAATAAGGGGAAAGAAAGACCAGCCTCCTGAGTGGGCTTTTCAGAGTCACTGTGCTGATAAGGCTGAGCAAACAGAAAGCAGCTTTTCAACTGGAATTCATCTCTCCTTGGTCTTATTTCTTCCCTCTTCTTTGGGAATACTCTTATATGTACATTTGGTAGAAATTTCCAGTAGACTGCCTAGACTAGTACCTGGATCATATGATTTTTTTTTATTTTTATTTTTCTATTTAATATTTCTCCCCCAATATGTGTTATTTCAAGTGTGCTAAAAGTAAATACTGTTTGCTACAAAAGTGCTTATTTAGGTGACTGGAGATCTTTTACCTTCTTGATATTTTTCTCTGTCAAACATACAAACAGTTTGAATCATTTAAGTCAAGCCATAGAATAGTTTGTGTCGGAAGGGACCTTTTTAAGATCATGTAGTCCAATTCCCCTACCATAGTCAGGGACATTTTTCACTAGATCAGGTTGCTCAGATATGTTCAGAAATCCAGATAACATGGTTATGCTCCAGGCAGGTTCAAAGTTAGAAGCTCCTTTAGCCCGGTCCCTATCTGAGGTACTTGGACATGGTGGTAGTAGATTAGTGGGGAAAGTATTTTACTAGGCTTCTACCATGTCCCTCCTTCCCTGGTATAAACCAGGCTTATTCACTGTACAGTAAGGGCAGTATTTACTAGCTGTTGCTAAGTAATTAATAAATGTAGTTAGCAGCAGCATTTAGAGTAGGATAATTTTTAACAAACTTTTTTAAAATTAATGACATGAATGGTTTTTATTCGTAATCTCTTGAGTCTACAAAACAGTCTTGCATTGCACCCAGAACTGCTGTGCTGATCCTTTAAGGATGTTCTGTCAGTGGCTTTTTAAACTTCAAACATGTAATCTGATAATCCTGTAGGTGCTATTTTTAATATGCAGTTTTAGTTTTAAATAGAGTAGACTTTTCTCTTTAAGATTTAGTGCTTTTCCTTATTCTTAAATTTGTCTGGCACTGTTAAAATATTTATTCAGTTAGTTTTATTTGCAGATAGCAAGACTCATTCCTAATCAAATACTTGGCTCCATGAATCATAGACGCTTGATCTTAATAAAATAATGTACGCATCTGTTGACTGCTGTAGTTAATAGTCTCAGTGCACAGATGTAATCTGTTCAGGTTTTTTGTAGTTAAAACTGCCTGAGATAAAAAATTAGGTTCCTTCTTTTGCTTTTAGATCTTCCAACCAAATTTTAGCACCAGTAAATAGCTGCTGCTGTTGGGATACGGTTTCCCCTGCCTTCTGAAACACTTCTGTGAGTGCTAATGCCAACTCCACATGTTTTCGTGGCACTAAGTGATCAGTCGCAATGTTGTGAGTTGCTCTGGAGAAAAAATTGTTAACAGGAAGCTGACAATTGCTGCTCCTAACCTTTTCTGGCTAGGAAACTCAACCAGTATAACACAACTGCTGGAATTTCCCATTTCTACTTTTTAACCAACTACTGTCTTGTAGTTTACTTGCAGAGTCCAGCAACTGTTGTAGCACGCTCTTAGCTTTTGGGATTTATACCCCAACTACAAATTTGCTGCAAGCTCTGCTTCAAGCCAGAGTTACCAACCTCTGATAGATGTTGCCAAGACTCTGTGTGACCACTCGAGTTTCTTGGTCAGTGGTTTGCAGTGACTCACAATAATGTGAGTCTTCACGTGGAAAGAGCTAAAGACTGAATCCGATAGATAAATGCTGGAAAGGCAGCTGAGCTCTGCAGTTTAAGTGGCCAAAATCAAAACTACAGTTTGATTCTTCACCAGCTACAGTCCTGTGGGCAGTTATATGCAAAATCTGAAACAGTTTAAGGAAAAGTTGAAAGTCTCTGAACTTTGCAAGTATTAGCTTTGTCAACAGCACTAGGAACGGTATGAAAAATGCTTCAATTCTGGTTTTGGCAGGCAAAGAGAAACCACATAAAATATTTAAAATGTAGCGAAGAATGACAAGTCTGTGTTACATTAACAGCTACATGCTCTTAAAAATCTTTGTATGTTTCACTTCAGTTTGCTGTTTTCGTTGGTTTTCTTTGTCTGCACAACTCTACTGTGAAACAAATTCACCTCTTAAATTAGGACTGGGAGTCAAGATGCAACTGAGGAACTGACCCAGAAGGATTAGTAAAATTCTGCATTGAAATGTGTTCTCTTTCTTTTTAATTTTTCCCTCTCACCACAGAAGATTAGTAAGGGTAAAAATATTAACACTTTCCCTCCTCAGTTTAACCTTCAAATCTTCTGGAGATTCAAATATCAGAAAATAGTAATAGAAAAAGAAGGTGGCCGTTTGTTGTTACAAGTAGGCTTGTAAGGCTCAAAAATTAACAAATGCTTTTACATCAAGACAAGGTAAAGAGACATCGCCAGTATAACTCTGGCCTTGAATTCAGATATGCTTCAGCATGCTTCTACATGTCAGAAGACTTAGTGATGGTATTTAGGTTAATTTCCTTGCTGTGAGTGTTAACTGCATTTCTCTGTATTTAACATTTTTGTGATAGTCTCGGTTGTGTTGCAACTAATACAGTTTTTGTGCATTTTCTTTAGATAAAGTCAGACTATTTAAGGCTGGCAAAGGTGACAATGGAACGGCAGAAATTAGTAAGAAATTATGAACAATCCAGCCCCTTCAATCTCAACTACTTAGTTTTCCCAGTGGTTTGTAGCACCATTGTCATAACTGTGCTGTGTCTTTTGCCGATGCCTTTCAATCTCAGTTTTTAAATTAAAATGATGAGAGACAGCTGGGCTTGTTATGGCCCTTTTTTCCTGTCCATACTCTTAGAGCTTTATGAGAAGCTAAAAGAACAGCTTCAAGAAGAGCGCAAAAGGGAAAGTTGTTCTACATCTAGAGGTATTTCTGCAGTCTTCGTCAAGCGTTGACTTTGCTAAAGAGCTCTCTGGGCTTGCTTTACTATGTGTATCATGAAGGAATCACAGTGAATACAGTACAGTGACATCTTTTCATGGAAACCATAATCTTTGTGCATAATTACTTTTTAGAAAAAAAAAGTCCCATATGTCCTTAAACACTTTTAAAGGTATATGGTATATGTTTTGCATTTTTCAGTGCATTTAATCCCAGTGAACTCCGTCAGGGAAGATGGGTTGAGCACTAAGAGCCGAAAGAGAATAATGCCTGGTTTGCTGACTGAGCCTCCTGCAATAGATCCTGTTTATGAAGCACATGTTTACTGCAACATTCCCACCATTGCAGAGCGCAGCATGGAAGGTAAGCTTTGTGAATGCAAATGACAGCTTATTTGCTTGTTTCTACGTGATGTCATTGGAAATGATAACTTTGCGCATTGTCAGTTCTTTGGTGCTTGGAGAAGGAACAGCAAATGCCAGCTGGTTGCTGAATTCTGTTAAATCATTCAAAATATACTGTTCTTCTTTTCTTCCCTTTGTATCCTCTCTGTTGCGTTGATTTTTGGAAGTGGTTTTATTTCCAGTCAGTGGTCAACTGGAGGCCTAAAACTGAAAGGTGTGGGAGAGATACAGGAATTTAATACTTGAACTGTAATTCTTATTACAAGTGAGCTGCATTGTAAACAGTTGACTTGGAATTCTAAAAAATACCCTAACCTCCAAAACACAGAAGCAATTAATTTTAGAACTCCAAATCAGTAGTCGGCTAGAAGGTATATTTGCATTCTTGCCCTAGCAAGACAGCAGCAAGTTATTCTGAATGAGTTCCTTCATTAGAATATTCCACCATTACAATTAATTACAAACTGGTATATCGAAAAGTTCCACATTAGAAATGCTGCAAAATCCATCATTATGCTAGTGGTCTGGAAGAGAGGCATTATAAAAGTGGGTCAACGTTATCATGTTGGCGTAGGTCAGTGCTTGAGTAATGTCTTGTATGGTTACTGGACTTCAGATGTATTGTGAAAAATGTACTCAGAACCTGAGTCTTGCCTAAGTTGTCTTGCAGTTTAAAGTGGAAATCCTTCTTGAGATGGTAAGTTGTTATTTCTTGCAGGGTTTTCTTTCACTGCATTACCAAAGCTATTAATCTAATTATACCTGCTCTATTTTATTAAATATGTGCAAAGGAAAGATTTCTATCTCACTCCTTTTGGGGGGTTTGATTCCCCCCCCCCTTTTCTGTCTTCACTTTAGGGCATGCACCTCACTATTTTAAGCTAGTGTCAGTTCAAGTGTTGATTCGACATGGTGACAGGTATCCTCTATATGCCATTCCCAAGACGAAGAGACCTGACATTGACTGTATGCTGCAGCCTAACAGGTAAAATTCTTTGTTTTCTTCATTGCTAAGTGCTTGATAATTATTTCGTTCCTCTTCAGGAAACATTTTGTGCAGCCTGAAGTACATTGTGACTTCTTGTGCATTGTCATGGATTATGAAAAAAAACAGCAAACCCTGCATCAGTACACTTTCCTTGGAAACAGGAACTATTACCTGTTACCAGTTCAGAGCAGAAGAAATTCTTGGTATTTCTTTAAAAAGCAAAACCTATTTAATTGAATATTTAGGTTACCATTCCTCTTAGATAAGCTTCTAGATGTTTTCTAAATGCATGTTCAGTATTTGGGAATGTCTCTTCCCTTTCAGCTAAGCAGACTTCCTTTTGTGTGAATACAAACAGGTCTTAGTTCATCACTACCATAGGAAAATGATTATTTGTGGTTTGTTATTATCTTTTTCTCTTTTCAGGAATGCAGGTTATCATAGTTCCTTCAAATTAATGATCAAAGTCATTAGTTAAAGTCAGTGTTAAGGAAAAAATATGGCGGTTGTACATTTAACTATTAAAAGTTAAACAAAAAGTACATTGTTTGCTACTTGAAAACTACACTTTTCCTTCAGTTACCATTCACTGTTTAAAACTGTCACACTTTGTGTCTGTCATTAAAACATAAACATTTACCTCTCTATTTCAGTATAGTGTGCTTCTGTCTAATATCATGTCTTTGTAGATTTCTGATGCTTGTCTTCATACATGAACGATTGTGAGCTGTAGCTATGAGCTGAATTGCTTCTCTTCCTTGTGGAAGAACCTTTCTTTCTTGTTTGTCTCATTGATAAAGAGGAATTATAATGTTAGAGCAGTAGAAATAAACAGTGATCACCAACCTTTGTCTTAGCTTGCTTGATTACATGAGGTTTTTTTCCTTTTAAGTAGGATATGTGGTATTGTTTGAATACTTACAGTTTTCCTTATTTTTTTTTTCTTTTAACTGTCAGATGTGTTAGCAAAACCTCTAAGCAAATCTACACATTTATGCTGCTGCCCACTCAGAAGTGTCAGGTGTGGAGATTTCAGTAACTGGGAGCTGCATCTGTTTTGTGCACTTGCACACATTACTCAGGAAAAGAGGCATAGTCATGCCGGTATACAAAGCAATGCAGATACACCATGAATACTTTTTTTGAGAACAGCATGGAATCTCCTGTCTTTAAAAAAATAACATTCTTGCTTTCCAATTATTCAGAATTGGCTTTACTCTCTCAGCTGAAAGTGTTAATGGAACACTGAAAGTACATTTCTGACTTAGATATATCAAATGAGTGTTTCTTGTTTTGATAGATTCATGGGCTGTGTTCCTTGAAATTTTAGTAGCTTCCTGTCATCAATAGCATTTATGATTTTTATCTTTTATACCTGAAATAGTCTGTCCTTGCAGCTTTTCCTTAATGGGCTTTTAACAAATGAAGCTCTCTGAAGAAGATGGATTATGGTACACTTTTATGCTTCTAGGTTTGTGATTAGCTAGTCTACAGCAGTTCCGTTTGAAAACATGAACCAGTTTTCATAAGTGGTCCTGTGTCAGTTTCTGGATCAAGTATATTAAAACCCAAACACCATTGTGATATTGCACAGTAGGAATGTTGCTTAAATACACTGAAGTGACATGAAAGAATACCTGAAGCTAATTAAGTATAGCTTCATCTCATAAAGCTGATGGGAAGCTTGATTAAAGAGACTTGCCTAGTATCTAGTAGATACAAACAGTAAGGGACACAAAGGCTAGCAGAAAATGATAAGAAAATTGGATCTTTCTCTGAAGCAAGCTGAAATATGTTGCTTTTCTTTTTAGATACCTGGCTGCTTAAAAAAAAAATGTGCTTGTTATTAATAGGTGTCCTGAAATCTTCAAGGCGTGCAGTGCTGTCTTCAGTTGTGGTCAATGTTGTAATGCTATTTGGCATGAGTAATTGAAAAGTAACCATTACTGTTGAATCAAGGGCAACCCTAGAAAAGTGTGAAACCATCACCAGTTTTCACCTGTTTGTGTGTCTACCTGTTCATAGGTAACAGGTACTTAGGAGCTCCCAAGTTATATTCACGCTACTGTATCTACCTGCCTACATTTTGCATGAGGATCTAAACAGATTAAAAGTTTCCTCTGATACCATATTGGTTGCTGCTTTTCTGTATCGGTACTTCAACTTCCACCACAAAATCCTTGTTTTGTGAAAGTGGCATTCGGTGATCCTATCTAACATCCTCCAAGAGAAGTCTGACTTCTTTGAGAGGTGTCCAGTCCCAACAGTGTTCTATGCCTGCTGTGAGCTGACTGGCTTTCTGAAATTGGATATGCAGCTCTGAGATTGCAGACAGGAGACCAAACATCAATTATCTCTGCAGTAGATTTAACCAACCAATTAATTTCTTTATCAAGATGAAAAATGAATCATCTGCTAATAGCTATGATAACATTTTTAATGACCTGCCTGTAAGGGCTGAGATTATTCTCGGCATGAAATACTAAGTAAAGAAATACGATGCAGATTCCTTCTGGAGTTCTTATAGGCTGTGATCTTCTGATCTTGCTCAGTATCTGTCACATTAGCATGTATGTGAGAACACTTTATTGCAAAGATGTTAACTGCAAGTGACAATGTTGTATGAAAACCTGTACTTCTCAGTGTTACAGTGCCACGTGAGACCTCAGTTTTATATTTGTCGGAGAAGTTTTTATAGCTGTTTCCACTTCAGTTTCAGGCAAGGAACACAGCATGAAGGCCCTGAACTCGGGAAAACTATCCATAAAAGGCAGAGAAGTAGTGCAGCTTTTAACACTGCCAACAGAATCACCAACTCAAGCAGATAGGAGGGCACAGTGTCAGGATGTGATGAGGCCAGCAATGTAGATGCTCTTGGCTGTTACTAATTTATGAATCACTAGAACATCACTGTATAGATGATACCTCCCTTGCCATTCACATCAGCTGAATATGAGTGGAGAACCAAAAAGACTTTGTCTCCTTGAAGCAAAGTTTATATAAAATAGAATCTCCTGGCTGACTTTGAAAGGGCAGCAGAAAGATTAAAGGAATTGACTCTGTACCATTCTGTCCAGATGTGTTGAAGCTGACCTGAATAAAGCTAGAATTGTTCGTTTCTGCCATTGTTTTGAATGGAACATTTATTACTTCAACATCAGGAAGCTATTTGCTGCATTTGGTTGTCAGGCCTATATTCTTTTATTATGTAAATTTGGTGCTCAGCTGTAAACATATTTATGTTAAGAGTATTACAAGGTGTATAATTGCTACCTTTGAATTAAAGGTTTTGTGATGCTGTATGGCTAAGATGTCTGAAAGTCTGCCTTATTTAAGCTTTCTTGACTTCAGTTTCAGATAAGTATGCTGCTCAGATTCAGTCTGTTCTTTATTTGACTTGGCATTCAGCTGATGGAATTCATTAATTAAGTAGATTATGCTACAGGCCCATGGACTTCTAATGGGTATGCAAAATAGCCTTGAGGTCACATGTCAGTTTTGTGAATTACGGATTGTGACATGTAAGTGTGAAATGAATATAAGCAAATGGATTAAATGCTTTGGAAATTTCTTCCATCTAAAACTTCAATTAATATTATTTTCATTGTTCTGGAAACAAATTTCCAAAGGGAGATGAATAATACATACTTCTTTTCCTTAAGAAAATTAATAGAATGATATTACAAAAATCTTTTCATTGTAGTGTTTGCTTATGGGAGGAATAAATTAATCTTCCACTTTTTCCCTTTGTATCTTACAGTGTCAAAACTATAAATGTACTATACTGCATATAAAATGCAGAAGTATGTAAGTATATACTCATAAAATTATAAATGTACTATATTGCATATAAAAATATGCAATGTTTCTTCATTGAGTTTGTATGCAAGACAGTGAAGAAATGTTTTTTGAAAGATGCTATCGTTTCATAGTATGCTGGCTTAATTAGCATATGCTTTGAGGCATTTTGAAAGGTGTTGATGTTAATCATAAGAAGCTTAGTAACAAACATTTGAATTTTAGGTTCAATATGCACATGTCTTGAGACTGCCAGAAAAATGAAAGCAAAAAGTGTGGGAGAGGCAAGTATCGTATTGTAAGCTAAAGGAGGTGTGGGTTTGACTTGGAGGGAGGTCAAAGCATGATGTAGGCCAGAATTAGGTGAAGAAACCTCTCCTGAGGCTTCTTCTGACTTCTCTAGAAACTCACAAGAGCAATGAAGTAGACTGGATCACTATAGAGCATTATAAAAATGTAAAGGCTCTAACACCTTTATGAATAAATATGCCCCAACAGTATTGATGCTTGTAACTACCTGTTTTGTAGACTGCAATAATCTGTTGTTGGTTTTAGTGGCTCTTTCATTCATTTGCCTTCTAAAAGGAAGCAGTATAGTCCTTTGATCTAACACTTTTTTTTGTCTACTTAAACGTCACAGAAAACACATTATTTTTGCTTGAAGTTGTATTTTTTTTTCATTTTGAGTAAAGAGAAAAGGGACTGCCCTTTGGTTCAGTTACCAGGCAGGATCTGATATATCTATTATATGATTACAGGAAGGAAACGTTCTCTGTCCAAAGCTTTGCGTGTGCCAGGCGTGGTCATGTTTACTCACCAAGTGACACACTGAGGGTTCTGCAACTCCCTGTGAGGTGTTCAGTCCTCTGCAAATTCTGCATTTATTAACAAAAGTGACATTTGCATAGATAAATGCTATTTGGGAAGGAAAAAGTTATCCCAGTTTTGTAAATGTCCACCTCCACAAGTTCTTTCTTGTGGCATGTAGACCTCAGAACTCTATAGTGCTGTGAAAGGACAGAACTGTGCAGTTACAGAGGTAAGATGAATAAAAAGTTTACTTCTCCATAATTCTACTTTTAATTAAATGACACAGTAATTGATCTCAATAATTACTTTTTTTTTTGACAGTTTCTTTTTAATCATAACCTTGACCAATGTATGTTTTTGGCCCGTTGCATTTTGCATGGTGGCAAAAGCACATTATTTATGCCACTCCTGAATTTTTATGAACATGTAAATTATTAAATAAACTGTAGTTGCCTCTACTCTTGTCAAGATGATGTCTTTACATGTCTGTTCCTTAAATTCTGTAACTTGGCAATTTTTAGAGATACATGGTCTCAAATTTGTACATGGTTCAAAAAAGCATTCAATTTAATGAGTTGGAGGACAGAGTGAATGCTGTGGTTTGTTGACCATCAGGTTTGTTGAAGAAACAAAGCTTACACTGTACTTCATTTTACATTATACATAGTGGAAATAAGGCAGTAGTTCAGTGGTCTAGTAGCCTTAATAGAAAAGAATGTTAAAGGAATCTCAGCCTGTTCCCACTGAGGAATTAATTTTGATAAAAGTAACCCTAAAATTAATAAATGTAAGGAATAACGGGTGGGGAATTTTTACCCAAATTGACCTTTTTGGGTCTGTTTTGCAGTCTAGGTCTAAAGGAGGAGCAAAACCAGATCTGATTTCTATTTATGTTTTAATTCTTTAATAAAACCAATTTCTGCTAACAAGGATCAGAAGGGAAGCAAGTATTTCACAAGTAGACAATATAAATCAATAGCAGTATTTTCATGAATGATCCTGAGACAAGTAGCCCTGAGAAGCAAGGATGATTTTCTTTTTGTTCTGTGAATTAACCATGAAATCTAGCAGTGGTCTTCATGCTGTGTTGCTGATGATAATATTTAAACAAAGGCAACCAGCTCAAAGAGTTAACTTTTTACCGAAAGAGGCTTCTATGCACTCAGTTGTGAACATCACTTTATCCAGGGGCAGAAAGCCCCATTGTCTCCCAAACCAGTTCCTAAATACTGACCTTGAACTCTTGAATTCAATTAGTCTCATGGGGTGGGGTACAAGAATGTCCTGTAACAAAGTTGTACTGCTGTGCAAGATTTGAAGGTTTGCTGTATAATATCTTTAAACTTAATGTGAAACTGCATGAGTAAGGTTTCATACCTTTGCATGTCTATAATAGATGCAATAGATGTATTTTTGTGCATGTTTCTCACACAGTGTTTTGTGCCATTATAGCGTAACCATCCAAAATCAATCAGCAGATTTTCTGAGGTGTCATGTACATGTGCTCACCCTGGTACTGTGTTTCTCACTTTGCTGTGCTAATTCAGAACCAGCAAGTTAGTGTTCGCTTCTCATAAATAAATAAGATAGATAAATAAATAAACAAATCAATCAGCAATTAATCCGAAAAACAACCACCTCATTTCTATTTTTTTTGTATCTCAGCTCCTCAAAGAGAAAGGAAATTGTTACTAAAGGGTGAAAAGACCTCAGCTCAGTTGCTGGCATTTGAACCAGAGTTCAAATGGTTGCACAGGGTGGTTTCTTTCAGTGTACACTGGTTACAGTGTAGCAATAAAGAGGTGACATTTTGGTATTAAAGCTTCTTAATACCTTTACAAATAAGATATTTAAATGTTGAATAAGTATTTAAATTTGGTCCATTTTAATGCTGGTGCATGGAAACTGCACTATTAAATATGGGCCCATTATTCCAGTGTTTAGTTTGTAAATAACAAAAAGATAAGCTGAATTCATTATTTGAGGGGAAAATAAGCGTCCTCAGCTCTGTCACAGATAAAAATTATTTTATTTTACAAAAATAAGATAATGAAAAGGAAAATTAACAGACATTAAAGATGGAAATAAATATTCCAAATTAAGAAAAAGTGTGTTTATTAATTGTGGTGTTAGGTGAAAATCCATTCCATATTCTGACACAATTTGAAATATTTATTGTATAAATACATTTCCCAAATGTGATAACTTATCATCATAATGCCCAGCAACATACAGAATGATATCTCTTTAGCCCATTTTTATTTTCTGTTTACTTTTATGAAAATTAATTTTAACTATAGTTCAGTGTTTTCAACTATACAACTAATTTTCTTTGCTTCCCACTCAAACAGCCCCAGCAGTCTTGCTCGTGTTGCCTAGATACTCCATCTCTTGCAGCATCTGTAAATTGGCCAATTCAACAGGAGGATTCATATTCTAAATGAAATCTTGGAGGAGGGAGGGGGAATCTTTTGTTACCAGGTGGCCTGAGTGGTGCAGTGAGTTTTGCTTTTGAGAAAAATAAGTTTTTATTTGCCCAGTTATATAGGGTTAATTAGGAGAATTGCCAGTTTGTTCAGAATCTTGTTACATACATGAGGATTACATTCAGGGTAAAAGTATATTGTAGCCTGAGATGTCTGTCCCTGCCTGGCAAAATGGTTCTTACTTCTGTTGATTTTTGCGTGTTTTTTTCTTCTTCCTCTGGAATGTATTTAGCAAGTAGTAAGCTTTGAATTTATATTCAGAAATACATTTAACAGTCATATTTCATAATTCTGTTCTGCAAGCATGTGCTTAACCTGTGCTCACTTTAAAAAGAATGTAATCCAAAGTCAAGTAACTTGAATCTAAATGGGTATATGAAAAGCTATATTAATATAGTGGAATATGATTTTATAAATCGCCATATATGTTATTAATTTGTGTTGGATGTTAGTTTATCTTGCCTGCCACTTTTTAGATAAATCTTTTTGCAAAGCACTGATAAATACTTCTTCTTTTCTTTCTTCTTTCCCACAAGTGATTGCTGAGACACTTTTATCAGTGTGGGTTTGATTCCATTAGTATTCAGATTTTTGTAAGCAAAGTAGCAAAAGAAGCAGAACGGCTAATGCAGTTCTTTTCATTTTCTTGCACATGTACTTGCAGAAATTGCTAATTAAGTAAACAGGGTTTAAGGAAAATTATGACTGACAATTTATTCGTGCTGATAGATTTTTAAGGGGCAAAGTTTAGAACATTGGGGGTTCAGCCTGCTACGTCTGTAATAAGCTTAAAAAGCTATTTACTAATGAGTTTAATTTAATTTTTTCTCAACCTGATTCTTCCATTTTTAGATTACACTGCTGGGCAGTAAAAACAATGAAACGTACAAAAAGTTAATTCACCTCTGGAGCTGGATTAAGCTTTCTAATGTATGCTTACTGTAATACCTTTTTTTATGTAGCTCTACTTCTCAAATACTAATCTTCAGTTCAATTGTCAAAATTATAATATACAGAAGAAGCTGTGGATTTAGAATGCCATAAACTGGCTGGTTTTCTTTAATTGGAAGTAAAAATGAAAAAAAAAATCTTTTGATATTTTTATCTCACCTTGATTTTGCCTCATTTTACATTTTTTCTTACTGGTAGTTGCACCAGAATTTATTGTACCATTTTATTCACAGGATATTATTTTTCTTAAGGTAAATTAAATACTAGACAATTCAAGTTTTGTAAAATGGTATGACAGTGAGCTGCCTCTCTGTCGACAGAGGTATTGATTCTTATGAGACCTCCTGTACATGCATGCTGTCAGCATTGCTCCTCAAGAGGTGCTTTTGCACTAGGGAGTGTCTTAGTTGTCTCTTCTATGTATAAGCATGAATGTCCTAGCAAACTTTGGTTAGACACTTCCTCCTACTTAATAGTGTTATTGCTCCCTCTTGTGGTTCCTGCAACTCTGGAAGGTTTCTTTTTCCAGACCTGAAGTTTTTGTATCACAATAGTTGATCATTTTAGCAAAGTGTAAATAGAACAATAAAGACTAAAACCAGATTTCTGTTAAAGTTATCTGATCCAATTTATCTTCCATTTTTATATACTTTTGTTGTTGTTGTTAGTAACATAAAAAAACACTTACTGAATTCAGGCTGAAAGCACTGTTAAAATGAGGACTGTCTGGGGTGGAGCTGCGTTGCCAGGTTTTGATTTAATTCTGCACCAAAGTAGAGAGGTGACTGTGTGACTTTTCTTGAATGTTGACATTTAAAAAAGAAAATCCCTACTTATGTAATGTACTTCTGTTGTAGAAGTGTGATTGTAGATTTAGTTTTTTAAAGGTTTAAATCATTGTGGAGTTTTTTTGTATGTAGTTTTCCACACAGTAGTACAACAGTGGGCAGAGCCTGTAGTGTATCTGAAATTTGCAGAACAGTTTAGGAGATCTAAGCATTCTTTCACTGACTTGAATTCAGTGAGTTGACTTAGACATTTTTGTCTGTATCACTTTTCCAGTTGCATTCATTATGTGCATTGCGGGAGTATCTCATCTTTTTAAGTGTCCAGCAGTGTTGGTCTCTTTCTTCCTGAGTAATGGTACAATCCCCAAAACAGTGATTTCCAATTTTAATGGGGATACCAGATACTACTTTCCAGGTACAACTTAACTGAGGCTGTATGTGATATTTGATTTGAAGCTTGAAGTGATCAGAATAGTTAGTGTTGGAAAGGACCCCAAGATCATCTAGTTCAAATAAAAATAGAAATGAAGGCTGATACTGTAATCAGCATAGTATGTTACAAAACTTGAGAATACCTTCAAGATCATCTATGTAATCTACTGGTTATTTGAACCCTTTTAGATTGTTAGTGCCTTTGTCCATAGAGTTAAAGTGCAATAGTGTGAGTATTTTTTGGTAGGGATTTTTTTTTTTAATTCACAACAGTATCAGTGACTGCGTTTAAAAAAAAAAAAAACTTTCAAAATTAATTACCAAAAGGTATCATAGTTTTAACATGACAAGTTTCCCTGTAGGCCTTTGGTAATTAGTCAGTACTTAGGTTTATTTTGCATACTTGCAGAAGTCTTCAGTGAGACCAGATGTTGTCTCAGCCATGAATGTCTGAGCTCATATAGTCAGAACACTTGACTCTCTTGAGCTGTTTTCCCATATACTTTTGGAAGTTTTCACATTTTGATTTACCTCTCTAGGAAACCTTCTCATCCTCAGCTTGAAGCTTTCATTAAACATATGTCAAAAGGCTCTGCAGCCCAGATGGGTGGTTCCCTAAGCAGCCTGCCTCGCTACCCTAGCCATTCTTTGTGTGAAATGGGAGAGCTAACACAGACAGGTAAGTTCCAGTAGAGCTCTGTCTTTTCCTCTCTTCTGTTAAATACAGTCTGCTTGGAAAGGGATCTCCTATTTTTCTTTATATTGAAATAAATGCATTTTTATGGGAAATTTATAATGTTGGTCATAGCCTAGCTTCTGCTGAGATATGAATATAGTATTAGAGTCTCTAGAGTAAAAGTGGTAACAGTTCTAGAAACTGCTTTATCCTATAGCTTGCCAGTTCTGTTACAGGTTCATCACACTTGCCATATCTTAATAACGCTATTTGTAACAAGTCAGAGCAGTCGCACCACAAAATTGCTTGGTCACCCTTGTAAAAAACGGCGTTGCTCAGTCCTTCCTGAGGAAGGTCTGCAAGGGTTTGTAATTCAGCATGGCCATGGAACTAAAGAACTTAGTTGCCAGTTTTTTACCTATGAGGTACCTACTGTGTCCCTGCAAGGGATTCAGGTGTAATAGATAAATTTGATGCTTGTATTATAGAAATAGAAAACCTTTTACACATGGTGCTTTTTCCTTCTCTCCTCCCCTGCCCCAAGCTTTGTAGTGAAATCCCAAGGTTGTGGGTTTTGGCATATTTATTTTTGTATTTTTTTTCCACAGGAAAATTAGTTATTTTCTTATTCCATCTATCAGGTCTGCTGAGCTATTTATTGGGAGGAAAGGTGGAAATATTAGTAATTAAGTTCCAAAAAACTATTTTTAAAAGTTGAAGTTTTGAGACTTTATCAGTATTACTTCTACCAAGAAGACTGCTGAGCTCTGCTGGTGAACATACTGTTTAGTTTATCTATACCAAAGGGGTGGGGGAGATGAGAGGTAACTGAAGTGTTGCAGTGAGGGGTTTGTCTATGTAGAAGAAAGTACGTGGAGAGTTGAGAGTAATGTGGTGCTGAAGGCACTGGGAATGTTATAAAGAGATAAAAGGGTTTGGGATTGGAGAGGGAAAATTGTAGTGGTGGATCAGAGCTGCGATAAAAGGGCCATTTACAAAAGACCTGGGACTGCTGTCAGCAGGCAATAGAAAATACGAGGGGAACAAAAGGTAAGAAGGCAGAAGTACAGAAACAGGTTGTCACTTTGTATGAAACAGATTCCACAGCTCTTGGAATTTTTTGTGTTCTACACCCAAAATAGCCAGATGAACTGGTATGGGCTTGAAGTCCATGTGTTTGTTTGCTGTGTTTATTTTTCTGCATATATCCATATCAGTGTGTCAGAACCAAACATATAGAAATGCTTTCCCACAAACATGTGGAAACATACTGTTGCACCACTGGGCAGAAATGTGATTGTGAAAAGGATTATTCACATGTGGATTTTTCTCTTCAACATTCATGAATTTAACAGACAATTCACATTAATAACACTTTCTGTTCTCCTGTATCTTTTCAAATTTTAACATTGATCCATTCCATTTTATTCCCATACCTTTTTACTATGTTGCTCTTTCTATCTTAAATACCAGTGACTGAAAGAGCATATCACAGTGAATCTGGGTACTCAGTAGGTTTGGAGACAGCCTATGGAGAACAAAGAGTGTTGAAGATCTGAGGAGTTAGTGGCATTTTCCACTTGCCAGCTGTCTTTCCAGGACTCTCCTATATTCTTCAGTCCAAAACTTGCCTGTCATATTCTCATAAGTTCTGGGATCCCACCAGAAGAAATGCTTGTATTAAGCGAGTGTCAAGTCTTGCAAAGTGATGTCAGGAGAAACCGAGTCAGGTTACCAAGGAACTCCTCCTAACACAGCATGTTGTGTGTGAAACTGGACTCAGCACTGCCCACAACTTGTAATAGAGAGTATCTGGGACTTGTATTGCCTGTAGTAAGCTATATAGATGGTCTAGTTCATAAAGGGTTCATGCCTGCTGCTTTGCTGCTGTGGGAGGATAACACAAGCAAGGTGGATTCTGGAATAAAGGTTTTGGCATGTGACAGGGATACGCACCCTCTTCCTTTCCAGCTGGATCAAGGCAGAGCATTAGTGTAAGATTTATTGAGCAATTGTAGCACTTCCCTGAAGAAAGTTGGAGAAAGAAGTTTGATGCAACTGACACACCTCACCACTCTGTTTTGTGAGTTTACACACTAGTTTATATTCTGTGTGTTCATTTCCTGGCTGCCAGTAGTTTCACCAGCTGCCATAAATTTGCAGGGAGCACAGCATTCACTGCCTGCCTGAAAACCTGACTCAGGTGCAGTCTGGATCCATCTTCATAACTGTCTTTCAGTTGTGGTAGACCCATTCAGTCTGTGCCTGAGTCCAGAAAAACACTAAGGTTTGAAACAGATCTTAAGGAACCAACTTTATTTATCTACATCTCAGTTTAACTCCTAGGATCTAAGACATACTGAAGAATAGCAGGTATCTCACATTACATGCAATTTTCCTAAGAGTTAAGCATAGGTGTGAAGTTCAGTTTTGAACTTTTTTGGCCTTTAAAGTAATTGTTCATCTATCAGTAGGACTGCTAGCTGTGCTCTTTTTTCCCCCCACTCCAAAAAAAAAAAAAAAAAAAAACCAAGATTCTAATCACGTGTTGTAACTTCTTTTAAAATTCTCTTTCAGGGGTTGTGCAACACTTGAAAAATGGACAACTATTGCGAGATATTTATATAAACAAACATAAACTGCTTCTGAGTGACTGGACAGCAAAACAGCTTTACTTGGAGACAACAGGAAAAAGTCGAACCCTGCAGAGTGCTTTGGCACTGCTCTACACTTTTTTGCCAGATTTTGACTGGAAGAAAATTAACATCAGACATCAGTGGAGCACCATTTTTTGCTCTGGAAGCTGCAACTGTCCTATGCGAAACCACTACCTGGAAGAGGAACAGCGCAGACAGTACAGTTTGCGGGTGAAAAACAATGACTTAGAGAAAATATATGTGGATATGGCAAAGATTGTAGGCATTCCCACCAGGCAGTTGAGAGCTTCTAACCCAATAGATTCTCTCTTGTGCTATTTTTGCCACAATGTCAGTTTTCCATGTACCAAAACTGGCTGCATTGATATGGAACACTTCAAAGTGATCAAAAGACATCAGTTGGAGGATGAGAGAGAAAGACAGGAAAAGAAACTTTATTTCTTGTATGCACTATTGGCTACGCATCCTCTTCTCAACCAGACTGTTAATCGGCTGCAGCGTATTGTAGAAGGCAAGAAAGAAGAAGTATTTGTTCTTTACTCTGCACATGATGTCACATTGTCACCTGTTCTCAGTGCCTTGGGCATTACAGATGCCAGATTTCCTAGATTTGCTGCCAGATTAGTTTTTGAGCTGTGGCAGGATGGGAAAAGACCCAAAGATCACTTTATCCGCATCCTGTATAATGGCGCTGATGTCACATTCCAGACCTCATTTTGTAGGGATTATTATAAACAGTCCACAAAGCCAATGTGCCCCCTAGAAAAGTTTGTCAATTTTGTCAAGAGGGATGTGTTCTTAATTTTTAACAGCACTAGTTATTACGATGCATGTCATAGAAGACCACTGTAGGGAAGGAGAATGGAAAGGAAGCAATGTTAACTTGTGTATCAGTGAAAGTCTGTATTCTGGTTGAGGCGCAGTTCAGTTCTGTTATTTCTTGTACTTGTATGTGTAAGTACAAAAGGATGTTGCTTGAAACATTCTTCAGATAGGTTTATTTTTATTCAGACTGCAGGTAGTCTCCAACAGAAGAACAAGTACTGAGGGGGTGTTACGTCTATGTGTATGCTCACATGTGCCGTGTGAACTGTGATGATAAATCACATGGCTATCGTAACCTGGATATCACTTGATAAAGAGTGAGAAAGCATAGACTTTGTTTCTCTGTACTCCAGAGCAATACTTGGATACCTTAATTTTAAAACCAAACCCACAATCTCAGTAATTTTAAGCAGTTTGTATCATGGTCTTTATGAATTCCAGGCATCTGTATTAAATCATTTGTAATGAATTCTTGAACCTCCCTACTAAAAATAAAGAAGCCTTGTAATGTTTAGGGGCAGGTCTTTAAAGCAAAGTGCATGTGTGTGTCTGTGCATACTTAGCTGAGCATGTACAAAGGAGCATGTGCCTTTCTGACCTCATAGACCTATAAATATTTGGCTGTTGTTGCCAGTGCCAGAGAAGAGTGTACTGGAGAATAGATAAAAAACTCTATTCTTTGATCGCACTTTCAGCACTTTGAATAGTTCAAACACAGTCTAGAAATATGTAAAGGTCTCACGACATTAAAATAGATAGCAAACACTAAAATTACCACTAAACCTGAGTGGGAAATTAGGGTTAGAAATCAGTTTTATGGTGAAGTTGTGGGCTGTTTCCTGTTGTGAACGTGTTCAAGCTGCTCTGCTATGGAACACATCCGTGGTTTTGGAATTTGATGTAGTGACTGCTTGAGACAGATTGACTAAACACTAAGAAAATTTTGTAGTTGATTTAGTATTTTTATGGACTAGGAAGTTCTTATTTTGTAAGATTAGACTTGTATGTATTGTACTGTGTATATTTATAACACAGTAGATTTTTTCTTACTTGTTTAGTTTGTAAAGAATTGTGAAGCTCACTTTAGATGTTTTTTCCCCTTGATCGGGATGTTTAGACTTAAGAATAAACTGTCTTTCATGGGTAACTTGAACAATGAGTAGATACGAAAACTTGTACTTCAGACTGCTTTCATCTGTTTAGGAGTGGTAAATTGAGAACCAATTTTTAATAGAACTCATAGAAATTTTTATAATGGTGGAAGTTTTTTATGCTTCTAGAAATAATTTAGTCTGTGACTTGTGATGCAATGGTGCTAGTTTATCAAAGAAAACACAACTCAGCGTAAGTTCTCTGACTACTGGCACATTCCACTCTCTGTTTTCAATGCTGCATTTGAGAATGTTTTTTTAAATAAAATTTTGGGGCCTGTTTGTAACTTGTGTGTTACATTTATTCTGACTTCCTTAACTGTTTGCAGTAATGAGTGTGTATTGTGAAGTTGCTTGTTGCATTCGTAACTTCTGCACTTAATACATATTTTGGTTCCTAGTCTGAGAAGAAGCAGATAAACGTTTTGCAAATACTGAAATATTATGTATGCCTCATTAGAATGTGTAAATTCTGGAAACATTTTCTGTCTAAGAGACTAGCTCTGGTAGTTGTCGTACATGTTTGTGTGCTTGAGGGCAAACAGGAAGAGAATCTGAAAGCTGAGCTCTCTTTGTTCTAAATGGAGTGAACTGAATCGCTTGTCCAGTGTAAGTATTAAATACTGCAAAGAGCTGTTGAGCTATCAGCAAAAGCCAGCTATAGCTCTTCAGAGGGTTATCTGTTTGACCTTTATTGCTGTTTGGTGACCATTTGCAGGAATGATGCTGAAATGTAGAGAATGGTGTTTCAAGCAAGTTATTTAGAAACTTCGAACCCTTTACAGTTTTTCCACATGCCAGTCTTGGTGTCTTCAAAAGCCTGTGCTAGGAACAGCATTTAACCTTGCATCTTCTTCTGAAGACAGACCATAGAAGTGTTCTGATTTGATTTCCTTGTGCAGAAAGATCCCCTCTGACTGTTGAAGAGGTTTTGAGATTGGAGGACATGAGAATTAGGGTGGACTTCTCACTTGTTGGGCTCAAAGAATCATTGAGATCCCAGATATTAATGGATATTGCAGCTGTTTTCCTGAATTCTACCTTAACAAAAAGGCACTGATTTTGTGGACTTTTGGTTGCTGGTCAACTAATGAGCATTCTGCTTGAAGTTTCAAGTAGATCTGGAGGTTAATTCCCCAAAGTAAATGAGTTAAGTTAGGTGCCAGGAAATATGCTCATCTGTATAGTCACACATCTTGAAAAAACTGAGACAGATGCAGAAAGGCCAGATTCTGTTAGTAGCTGCAGTTCCTCAGATTGCCCCAGTTATCAAATGTTTGCCCTTTCTGGATGTCTGATCACAATCAACACTGCTGTGTGGAAGGGTGTCCCTAACAATGGTGGTAACGGTGAATATGAAGCACTGCTATCCTCTAGTCAGAGTTGTCTTTATGCTTAGAGAGTTATGGGAACTGGTGTTTAATTCCTCATTTCTGTTCTCTCTTCTTCAGCCAGTGCTTCACAGTTACCTGTAAACATCTGTAGGTTTTTAAGGAGGGTAGAAAAGTGGGTATAGGGATACTTCATGCTCTTTCCCACGTTGTTCAGCTAAGCACTCCCCCTGCTGTCACTCCTTACTGCACAATCTCTGAATAAAGGAATGATCCTTAACATCATGTTTTTAAGAAAGTCGGTCTGGTGCTTGAGTGACTTGAAAAGAACAAGTATACATTACATAAATGGAGGAGCACAGGCTGAATTTAACACTTTTGTATAGAGAATTGTATAAAAAAAGAGGTGCATGGCCATAATGGAATGTAACAAGGTGAAAAGGAGTGCACTTAATAGTTGATGGTGGTTTACCTTTGTCAGTTTTTCTTGTGGCATCCAATCTATAACAGTGTGAACAATCAGACCCATGTGCGTGTAGTATAGTGAAAGGCACCTTTTCCAGTTGTTGCTCTTCCTGCATGCTTTTGTCTTTCTTTTGAAGAAAAAACAATGTTACATGAAATATAACAGGTAAGTAATTTTTCCTGTTTCTAGGGGAAATTCAGACAGACCGTTGCAGTTACTTCAAACATACAGATACTTTGCTGTTAGCAAAACTTCTCCAGAACTCCAACAGGAGTTAATAATCTTATAACATTGCAGTGTATCTGTGTTCAGACAACTTTTGAGTATCTCCGAGTCCAGACCCCCCAACCTCAGTCATCCTCACAGTAAAAAAGCAAGCAAACAAAACAGGATGTTTCCTTCTGTTTCAGGTGGAACCTCCTGTGTTTCAGCCTCCTGTGCCTACTGCCTTTTGGCCTGTCACTAGGCATCAGTGAAGAGATCCCTCTTATTTACACCCTCCCTTCAGATACTGGTATGCATTGATAAGATTCCCCCTGAGACTTCTCTCTTTGGGGTGAGCAGTCCCAGCTCTCTCAGCCTACCCTCGTGTAGATGCTCCCATCCCTTAATCATTGTGGACCTTCAGTGGAGAATTTACAGCTGCTCCATCTTTCCTGTACTGGGCATGATAAAAAGCATGATAGCTCTTTGAGCCACAGTGGCCTTCCACTATGAGCAGGGCAGTGGTGAGGAAGCCGGCCTAGGGAACTTAAGGAAAATCTGGAGCAAAATTTTCAAAGGTTCAGAAGGGTCAGATTGATCATATTGTTTAGATGGCCAAAGATGCAGATCAGTTACAACAAAAGCTATCTTTTCCTTCCTTTTCATGTTCTTGTGCTCATGTCATAAATAATATTCCTTTTTTCCTGCAGCTGTCAGTGTGAGTAGGAACTTACTAACCATATTGCTAGCACCTGCTTACCTCTGTGTCTGAGGGTCAGTGCATGGGCATTACCAAATCTCTAAGGTAAAAATAAAAAGAAAAAGCTAAGCTAGTTATTCTTCTGTGTATACATAGTTCATAAAGATATGCTCATCTCTTCTAAGCCACATACTCAAAGGCAGCCACAATACTGGATCAGAGAAATGACTCCAGGCCAAAGGGGCTCACCCACCCGTGCTGACTCATCCCTCCTGTTCTGACAGACTCGGATGCACATGAACATTACCATGTGCTGTGCCAAGCTGAGGCCCTTCTCCTCTCGTGCACCCTTCCCACCACAGCTCCAGCAGCTGCCAGCCTTCAAAATAGCATTACTGAAGGCCTGGAGAAACAGCTACGCTGCAAAATCATACCCCAGGCCCCAATCCCAAGGGAAGGATGATGTGATGGACCAACTTAGTAACATACTCATATCCACATTGACACCTGACAGCATGCTGGATGCTTACCAGGTCACAGGAGTCCCGCTTCTGAAGGCTACACCAAGCTTCTCACCAACATCTCTGGGATGGCCATCGTGCTCCAAGCAGGTCAGACTTGACACTCGTAAAACAAGATCGGAGGAGGAAGCAAGAGGGCTTGTCAGAAAGGAATGACCCAGGCTGTGTGTGGCGGCCAACAGCAGAGCTGCTCTTCATACTCACCATGGCACATGGGCACCTGCTCCAGTCTGGACAACAGAAGGAATGTGGCTTCCAGGTGGTAGCTGTGGAGCAGGCACATTTTTACAGCCAGTGACTCCATGGTAGAGTGACAGAGATGCAAAACTCTTGAGCTGGCCATCCCTGCCACACCTACTCCCACCCAATGAAGAATACACACAGCTGCTCATCTTGCACCAGGTTCTATGTATTATAAGACCTGCTGACAGGCAATAAGATGTCTTCTTTAGCAGAAAGCTCAACAGTGATCACTAATTATTAAAAATATAAAAAACCCAAACACCACCGCCATCACCACCAAAAATCAACCAACCCAGCCACTGCGACAGCAGTCTGTAGCTTGAGGTCTGTGCCTATTGTGCACAGTTCTGCCACGGATGTCGAGAACAGTATGGTTGGCAACACTAATATTTCTGTAGGTTGTTTTGGTTTTATGAGGATAGTGCAAGCAGTTTGTAAACAAACTAGATTTTAAGTTCCTAGAGGTCCTACGCTTCGCTTTATGGCCTAATTAAACAGGCCTGCAAGTAGGTTGTCAGGCTTTGTTTTCCTGAAGAAATAAATTGAAATAGGGGAAGGAAGCAGGACATGACACAGACTAGCTCCCCCTCTGCTCCCTTCAGGCAGTGCAGAGATAAACCCTCCACTTTTCTATCCAGCTTCCAAGATTTTAGATGTGCCAAGACATCAAAGACATCAGTTCTGGGCTGGGAGGCCTGTTTTGATGGGATCTAGTAAGTTTTGAAGTCTGCGGAGGGGAAGCTAGCAACAGCTTTCTCTTGAGATGAGATGAGGGAGAAGAGGCTACAGAGAAGCACTGCTCCAGAGCACTCAACATTTCTGGAAACCATCTTAATTCTGACAGGGATCAGTGTCAAAACCAAATAACCCAAATGCTTCCCTGAGGTTTCTCTCAGTGAACAGGGCTATAAAAGCCTGCAAACATACAAGAAGTTACAGCTACACAGCAGCCCAGTTATAGCTATCCAGAAAGGTATTAACACTTGTACACCTCTATATATTAATCTTTATAAATACAGTGTTCTGCACAAAGAACTACAAAAAGACGTCATTCAAGGCTGGGGGTTTTTACAAAAGCTTGTGAGGGCTTTTGTTTTCATCTCTGCCTTTTTTCTGCCACTTGGAAACACTTATTCTTTCTCCTCCTTCATCTCCCACCCAGTCCTAAGCAGCTCAGTTAGTAGGTCCAACATCTTTACTTTGCCATTCGAAGAAGTGGGAAGGAGGCCATGTGAAGGAGTCTACAACTTTCAAGAGTGAAAAGCTAAAGTGTGAGGCAGGTTCAGCTGTCAACAGAGTCCCAGGGGAAGTAGGCAGTCATAGCTCATCCCTGGAGGACGGCTCATTGAGAGGTGACTGGGAAGGCAGAGCATCCTTGTTCTGGGGATCACTGTGGATCTTGCCCTACTGATGGGATTTCCAGGAGTATGCTTTGTCCCAGCCTGTTGACACAGTCTCCTTGTCCCAGATTATAGAGGTCTCTGTGTCACTGAGGTAGCCTGGCTTCCCGCTGGAGTGCGCAGGGTAAACAAGGAGGGGTTCTGCTGAAAAGGCTTTCAAGTCTCTGGACTCGATGGTACTCCATGTACTTTGCTCTAAAGAGGAGAGAAAAATCACCCCTGTAACAGAGTGAACGTTCACCAGTGCCACTGCTTATAACTGAGAGATACAAGCCAACCCACCAAGCAAACTAGGGCTAGGGATATTAAGGATAACAGGAAGGGATTCTACAGGTACATAGCAAATAAAAAACAGATTAGGGAGAACGTAGGCCCCCTCAGGAAGCTCTCAGGTGAACTAGCTACACAGGATTTGGAGAAGG